AAAAGTGAAGAAAAACTATCCAATGAGAATGAACAGAGAAACAGTACTAGCTACTTTATAGGGAAGTATTGAAAGCAAGTTGCAAGCCTGACTGTCAACATTACAATTTTACACATCACTAGTCCCAAAGTAAAAGCAAAATAGATCAACTCTTTCTATTAGAAGAGCTTGTATGCATTTCTTATCACTAGGCAAGAAGCTATTCAGAAGCCTACTTGTATTCATTCATTTGAGTTGTCTCTAAAAAAATGAATTTATTTCTTCATAGTCATATGCTTAGTAACTTTAGATTGTAGCAGCTTGTAGTTCCATCTCTCATATCAAAAATATACCTGGTTATTGTCAGAATCAAAATGTGTTAATTTTATTATTTCACAATGTACCAAGTAGCATTTTATGTGGTAACTGGTAAGTCATTTAATGCATTTAATGTTCAACTTCCCCTCTCTTCTCTAACCCTCTGCTCAAAGCCTAAGGGAAATAATGTTTAATGGCTTCAATTTTCAAGGAATGTTAGGTCTGTGCACTTAACCTTTAAAATACAAGCAATCAACAATTAGGAAAGGATTAGTTTTCACTTGCGTAAGAACAAATACCAACACATGCATTTACTTCTGTCTGACACTAGCTTGGTATTCTGTATTCTGGTATGTTTTCCAAAAACTAAAATATATTGCGTTAAGTGGACTCAAGCACTTCAGATTCAGAAACACAAGTAGTAATGCAATAGTGTTCTGATAATTTCCAAAGCCCATTTCAGGACTTTTCAATAAATAACTCACACTTGAGTACAATGGTGCCTGGATAAGAATTCAGCAAAATAACTAATAACGACTTAGCATTCAGCATGCTTGCAAAAGTAGTATGTAAACATGAACATGTGATGTTATATAAGTTAGCTGAACTGCTCCCTCCTGCTCATTATAGACTTTTGATGCAGATTTTCAGACTGAGTAAGTAACCCCACCTCATTCCATCATTACAGAGTGGTAAGTCATTCCTGTGTCTGTCACACACACAAAACCAACAACCCAGAAGGCATTCATTCTAAAGTTTCTGTTTGCTGGGTAATATATTGAAGACAACTTCAATATATCACAAGGTAGAAGTGGTTAAGCAAGTAAAAAGCATGTACTAGCTCAGCCTCACAAAAACTGAAGACCTGAGGAACAAGAGCTGGGAAGTTGATCATATAACCCAACAGCAGCAGGCTGGGACTGGAGATCCAGTTGACCAAGCACATTTGCTCCCTGAATAAAACTCCAATCTTATGTTTGACCTTGAAGTGTCAGACACAAATATACCAAGATACACACTTCTTACATATCTCACACTACAGATTAAGAAGAGATAAGCTTAAGATCAGGGTCTACTTGAACAGAATTGAAGCAGAAGCAATGCATCCACACCCACTGTTACTCACTCTGCAATAACAACCACCCAACCCTTGCAATTTGAAATCAAACTGCAGCCATTTTTCACCTTGCCTTAAAAAAAAATCACCAAAGGACTAAACCCTTAAGGCTGAAGGTTCCCAAAAAGCAAGAGTTTCACTACTAATGTGAAGTAGCCAACATGACTTCGGATGACAAAAGTACACAAATGGTGCTACAAGTTACTTCACAAGTATTTTCCTACTTGCTGTGAAGTCAGAATCTATTGCAGCCCTCCCTGTTATGCAAAACTTTGGTTGTATTTAAAGTGCAAACTGTCAGGCTGCAAACAGGGTGGGTAAGAAGAACAGATAATGACACAGCAGCTGCAGTCTACAGGGCAAAGTACACTACCTCTCACATTCTTCTCACCACATCAGTGAAGGCCCTTAAAAAAGTTTGGGTTCAGTTTGCTTTCAGTTTAACTCTATAGATTTAGGGCTGGAAGCTGTGAGTTTTACGCCCAATATAAAACTGACATGTAGGTCTTCTGTTGGGAATAGGAGAGTAATCTCTGGCCACAATGACCCCCTCCAGGACCCCAAATAGGTTCATGGTTACCCCTTTTCAATGCTTTTTTTCTTGAAAAAAATGCTAAGGGGTACTCTCATTTTCCTACTCATATTGAAATACTGCCCTTCAATGAGGCAAAACTTATATTAATAAAATGTTTAGGGGTATTTGTACCCCTGCATCCTCCCCAGGAAAAAAGCACTGCCCCTTCTCTTTAGTCATGTTTAGGGCCAAATCACTGTGATATCTAAATGTAGAAGAATGGCAGTAAGAACCTCTCTGTATCACCTGAATGCATTTTTCAATCCTAGCTTCTCTCCTGTCTCATCACAGTTAAAATAAATGTTAGACTGCTGCCCCCTCTCCTACTGCTTTTTCCACCTGCCAGATATACCAGTACTACATCTCTTTTCCGCTCAAAGGACAGGAGGGAGATTTTGATTTGGCAAAGTATTTGCTAGAAAATGGTTACAACACACACATGCAGTAAAACAAAGGTCCCATCTGCACTATACATTTAAGGTACTCTTTAAGGTATATCACGTTAAAGAGTAATGGATTCACACAAAGAATGCTGGGAAATGTCATTTGTTAAAGTGCTGAGAAGCTGTTGGGAGACCAACATTCACCTCACAGAGCTACCTGGGAAGAGGGACTGACTCTTGGAGAACTGAAGCTCTGTGAGGGGAATACTGTGCTGTGGAATAACAACTCTCAGCACTCTCTTAACAAAAGACACTTCCCAAGATTCTTAGGGGAAGTGATGAACCTCTAAAGTGGTACTGCTTTAAATGTATGGTACAGATGGGGCCAAAATCAGTCAGGGCACCATGCAACTTATCTTCTATGTTATATCCAAGTTTGGCAACCATGTGAACACCATGCAAAGTAAGGATGCCTGTACTTTTATCATCAAAGTAACTTCCTCTCCTAGTTGATCCAAACAAAGGAGCTGCTGAAGGAAGAAGTTTTCAAAGAGTTTTATGTAAGCCACTGATTGCCTACCCCCTGCTATGGCAACTAACCTGTGAGACAAGGGAGGACAATTATTCCTACCAACCAGAAGTAACATGGTTGCCAAACAAGAAAAGCAACTTGAACCAAACAAAATTAGAATCAAAGCCTCCATAGCTTAACACCTTCTTTAGTACCTAAGACAGAGTGCTCCTGAATCATATTAATCTGTTATTAACTTTCCTGAATAAGTCAAATGATATTTTCAGGAATAAATGACTTGTATGTGTAGGGGAGCACTTATGTTTTATTCTGGTATATTATCTAAAGGCAAACCATTAAATATGGTTGTAAGTTCATGATGGTGAAGATGCTAACAGAATACTGCCTGCCTGCCTACCTTAATAGTTATTGTCTGTGTAAGGGGGGCGGGGTCACACACCCTAGGCAATTGTATGTCATCTTGAGGGCTGAAAGGCACAGTAAAATACCCAGATAAAAGCATGAGATTTTCCTAGTTCTACCAGAAGAACCAGCAATCTTCAAGATAGCAACATGTAAGGATGCCTAATATGAATGATTGGTTAGAACTAAAAAGATTTAACCACCATCTAGCTTCATGACCATTATTAGGAATAAAATTGTTCACAAAAATCAATACACAATTTATTTTGCATGAAGTGGAATTTTAACACACACCACCCTAAAATATTATAACGGCATCTCCATGTCCCCAAACTCATATTTTACTGTAGCCAAAAAGCATTATGTCAGACAGATGAGACCCCTTGGCAGTTGGAAGGCTCATCCCCCTTCTAGCAGACCTGGCAACTATTCAGCACACACCCACTGAAATTAATGTACTGAAGCTAATTGTGTCCATCAATTTCAACGGAGCTACTTGAAGTATGATTAACCCTAGTTCTGAGAAAGTTCTAGTATCTGTGGAACCTGCAAAAAGTGCAACATGAACGAGTGTTTCTAAACATGTGGGTGCAAACTAAAGAATATCTGACACTATACAGCTCACAAGGCCTCAACACTACCTAAAAACTCCAGACCCACACCACTCCACACACACATTCTTGAGCCCTGCCCTGTTGCTTTTATTTTGCAATACTGAAAAGCTGCACAGCACAATCCAGAAGGCGCACTCTACAAAGGATTGTTGGGGCTCAATTCTTGGGCCTGGGTGCAATCCCTAAGTTCACAGTCCAGAAGCTTTTAAAAAGATGGCTAGGGATCATAGGGGTACAACCTTCTGGACAATGGTTTCCTGGCTGACTACAGGCTACAGTTCTTTAAAAAGTCTAAGATAACTGTGTTAACATCGATTGTTTCTGATGATAATAGGGATGGCATATACACATTTAAGGTCCACAGAGAATTGTCACAGGCCATGCATACACATGCATTTCATGGCTATTAGTCACCCTCCACTGCTTACAAGTAAGAGTGTGTGTATATATCCGCCTCTCTTTCTTCCAACTGGGAACAATGCTTTATGCATCAGGGAACTCCAGCTCGTATAAGCGTAGGCTATTTTGTTTGTTGGTTTAAAGTTCCACAAAGCCGCTGTTTCTAACGCAGCAAGGCCCATTCGGCTGCCCCTCCGGATGCCACGCCGGGTTCACTGAAAACCCTGAGCGCGCACACAGTAACACAGCCGGCAACACCCGCTTGAGCACATCCCCCCTTCCTTCCCCCCATCGCAACAAGACAACGGCACCCCGAGCCATTGCTCCTCATTCATCCTGCTCCCCCCTCCGCGTCGCCCCTGCCAAGAGGCAGAAATAAGAGCTTAGAGAGGGAGGACGGGGGAGGAAAAGCAAGGGCCTCCCAAGCAGCTCGCTGGCTGGGCGAAGCGCTTGTGCGAAGGCGTGGCTGGAGCAGGCCGCGGCCGATCCTCCTGGCCCTCCACGGCCCGCATTCCTGCACGAGCAGCGCCCACCCCTTCCCTCTCCCCCGCCTCCCCCCCCCGAGCTTCCTCCAGCCGCGGCTGCTCCGCTCCTCTCCTCCTCCTCCTCCTCCTCCGCCACCCGCCGCGTGCAAGCCAAGCCGGGGGCCCCCTCGAGCCGGCCGGGCCCCGCGCGCGCGCACCTGGATGACCTCGTTGACCTCTCGGATGCACTCCACCATGTGCTGCAGGATCTGCTCGGCCGTCAGGACCTCGTAGCGGTAATCCTCCTCCTGCTCGTGGCCCAGCCCTCCGCCGGGGCCCGGCCCGCCCAGGCCGCTGCTGCCCAGGCCTCCGCCGCTCCCGCCGCCGGAGCCCAGGCCTCCCGTCTCGCCGCACAGCAGCCCGTCGCGCTCGCCGCCCACGCCCAGCCCGGGCTCCACCAGCTCCACCTCGCCCAGGTCCAGGTTGTCGTCGTCGGGCTCGTCCTCGTCGTCGGGCTCGTCCTCATCCTCCTCGGCGCCGCTGTCCTCGCTGCACTCCTCGTCCTCGTCGAACTCGTAGTTGTAGCCTTCGTCCGAGTCCATGGCGGCGGCGGCTGAGGCGGCTGGAGCGGCGGGGAGAGACGGCGCGGAGCGGGGCCGGCCCCAGCGGGCCGCCGGGGGGACGGGCGGACTCGAAGGCTCCGGCCTGGCCGCCTCCCTTCGGCGGACCGATAACAAACACCCGCCGCTGTTGCCTCTGCCCGCTGCTGCTGCTGCTGCTGCTTCTCCTCACAGGCGCCGCTGAGCCAACAAAGGGACGCGTCCGGCCCGCTCCGTCACCTCGACGCACGCACGCAGCCAGCGGCGGGGCGCAACCCCGCGTCGCCTGACGTCGCCGGCGTCGCGGGCCGGGCCAGAAAGAGCGGGGTGGGGAAGAGCGGCGACAAGCCCCGCCCCTCCTTTCTCCCCCCCCCTTTTTTTTTTTAAGGCCGGCGCGCTGACGCTTTTCTGAGGAGAGAAGAGGCTGGTGGTGACGGCCATATTGAGTGTGGCCACGCGCGTGAACAATAAAAGGGAGTCTCCAGTGCGGCGGCCATTTTCTGAGCGGGAGAGGTTTCCTTCCTCGCTTTGCTCCCCTTCAGAAAGGGAGTGGTTGGGCGCCTCCATCTTGGGTGTGGCAAAAGGGGTTTGGGGGCAAGTAGCGCGCGGTTTGTGGCAAGAGTTTGCTAGAGAAGAATAACAATTAATTTCTCCTACCCCGCGCGTCTGACTAGTTTGCACCAGCTTCTTTGGGCGGCTTCCAGCAAAATACGGCATCAAACAGTGCAAGCTTCCCCAAACAGGGCTGCCTTCAGACATCGGCGAAAAATTGTGTAGTTGTTTTAACTCTTGCAGGGAGGTCACAGTACTACAAGGCGTGGCCACCGAAAAAGGCCTTCTGCCTGGTTCATTGTAATTTCATTCTGGAAAATGTATGCCATACTATCTCCTCATCATCTTGTTGATTTGTGTTAGATGCCACATGAGAATTGCTCCCCATAAAGCACCTGACATCCATTTCAGTAAAAGAAAACCCCACCGACAATAAACATATATTGGATGTATTGCTCCACAATAACATTCACAGGCAGGCTGCTATGGGCACCTGCATCTTCTATGGATTTGTCTAAATCAGTGATGGCCAAACTTGGCCCTCCAGCTGATTTGAGACTACAATTCCCATCATCCCTGACCACTCGTCCTGTTAGCTAGGGATGATGGGAGTTGTAGTCCCAAAACAGCTGGCGGGCCAAGTTTGGCCATCAGTGGTCTAAATCTACAGAAGTGGGCAACCGCCACAATGTCTTGTAGCAAATTCTACAAGGTATGTAACTATGTACTGTGTGGAGAAGCCCTTTCTCGTCATGTTTTATTTGTATGTCACATTTCCATAATAATGTCAGTAAGTACCAAGAAAAATCTATACCCATCGTGTAGAGCAATTCAAAAAAATTGTCCTGATTAAATAACTGAATCAAAACTGAAGAGAAAATGATAACAAGCATAAACATTGAAGAATGGCATACAAAACTTCGCCTCATTCCAAGCAATGCCTTTGTTTCCAACGGTTAGATTTTGAGACTCATCTTTTCCAACATATATGTGAAGTTAGGCTTTTTGGAATGAGACCCAGTGGCATTTACTTCTCAGTAGACAGGCACACCACTTATTTTTATATTGCTCATTCAGCACAGTCATCTGAGCAGTTTACAACACTGTATAAAAGCACAATCAAGCCACATCACAAATGCATACTTCTAGCACATTAATACATAAAAATAAAACTGAAATCAGCAGAAAAGCAAGTCAATGTCCTTGTAAAAACTAGCACAGAAACAACATAAAATGAGCAGAGAACCAGCCTTAATCCAGCATAGGAGAATAGTGCTAAATTCTAGATGCAGGAAACTTTATAAATAAAAATGGTCTTTCTCTGGTGCTGAAAAGTCTGCAACATAGGAAACCAGGCAAGTCTGTCGGGAGAGAGGGTATTTTAGGGCTGCTAAAAACCTTAAATTTTCTTGCAAGACTGCATGGAGCAAAACATTCATAGTCATCAGTTTGTCTGACTAAGTTCATGTGATTGCCCTTCCCAACAAACACACACTTTGAGGGTCAATTGCTAACTGCTATTAAATGACTCTTCCTTTTTTTAAAAGAACAAAACAAGCAGTCCACTGTAGATAAATACAGGGCACGAAGTATGAATCAAAAAGACAACAAGGAAAAGCAGTAAGCATATGCTGTGTGGACTGTGAGGGAATGCATTTTGTGGCTTGACAGCAATTAATGTCTTTAAAAAGCAATACTAACGCACAGGTCCACTGAGAAACCAGTGACCTGGAAACATCTGACCTGAGAAGTGCTGTTTTCTCTAATCCTCGCTTTTGGAGGACTGGCTTTTGCTACTCATTAGTAAAGCAAAGTACCCAGCACATGCTCAGAGTAACTCTCTTCTTGGTGATGGCATCACACATGAGAGTTCAGCCTCAGACAGCTTCCTCCAAGCTCTTTGAGTCCACTGCATCTTTTTTATTATAAGTAAAAACGTATTAAGAATTTAAAATAACGAAAGTACTACTACAACAATGGTTAATACCAAAATCAGAAAAATCATAGGGTATTCCAGATGCCCATAAATAAGTGAAGATTTATACCATTCATATTGATGTACCTGAAATTAACAGTAAAAGATGTTATTCCAGAAGCATTGCCAGGGATTCCAGATTTTGCATGATGCTGTTGCCACTGCAAGTCTTTACATATGGAATAAATTTCTACTAAAAAGTCTCTGGGTCTTTCTGTACCTTTCAAAACATTTCAATTGTGCTTATTAGAAATAGCAATGTTCCATATCCCATATGCTTCATATGTGATGCTTCCCCTTTCTGTGTGATGGAGAGTTTGGCTGCGGTACAGCCAACAGAATTTTTTTAAAAGCCTGTACATTTGATATTCATGTTTACCACCTCAAAGAGGGTAAATATAATAATAACAGGGCCTCTAATTATATTAAAATTCATGACGTACCTTTGATCAAAACTCCTGCACAGGCATTCGCACCAAAGGTGTAAGTAGATGCCTTTTTTGCCCCAGCCACAAATCTGGGGTGAAGCAGGTATTCCAGTTGTATCCACTGCTTCTGCAATGGGACTTGACTTACCGGTAACATATATTCTCTCCTGATTGTATGTACTACTTACCTGCTTTCAAAACTACAAAAACGTAATTGCAGAAGTAAAAAAACTTCATAGTAAAAAACAATGTTCAGAATTTCCTCTCTGGTCTGCGTTGTCAGATACCTACACTTCACTTCTCTGCAATCAAACCCAACCTAGATTGGCATAGTGGTTAGACAACTTGGGAAACCCTAATGAAAAACCCCATTCAGTAAACCATTAATTTGTAACAAGACTCTGGCCAGTCATTGCCTCTCAAACTAACCTACCTCACAGGGGTATTGCGAGAATAAAATTGGGGTGGAGAAAAAACCATGTTTGCCCTTTTAAACTCTTTCAGAATGCCCTCCTGCAAGAGATGCATCTGGTGCCACCAACATAGTCTTTTAAAATCCTGGTTGACTTTCCTGTTTGCCCAGGCATTTTTAGATGACATTTTAGTTGGAACAGCCTTTACTCTGCTCTTTTTTAGCCTGCCTCTTGTTGCTTATGATTAAAGTTATTCGTTGCTGTTTTCTCTATTCCGCTTATATGATTGTGAATAATTTTGGTAATACTTTGGTACACCACCTTAAAACTTTTAAATGAGCAGCATTTAAGAAATACTTTAAACAAAGTATTTAAACTAAGAAAAAAACACATATTTATTTATTCATTAAAATATTTATAAACCACAATTTCATAAATCAGTTATAGGCACCACAATTTAAGAAGGATATTGACAAGCTGGAAAATGTCCAGAGGAGGGCAACCAAGATAATCAAGGGTCTGGAAACCAAGACTCAGGTAGCTGGGTATGTTTAGCTTGGAAAAAAGGAGACCGAGAGGAGATGGCCATCTTCAAATATCTAAATATCTAAAAGGCTGCTACATGGAAGATGGAGCAAACTCTGGAGGCTAGGACCCAAAACAATGGATTCAATTTACAAGAAAGGAGATTCTGACGAAACTTCACGAAGAACTGAGCTGTTCAACAGTGGAATGGACTCCCTCAGAAGGTGGTAGACTCTCCTTCCTTGGAGGTTTTTAAGCAGAGGTTGGATGGGCATCTGTCAGGGATGCTTTAGTTGACATTCCTGCGTTTCAGGAGGTTGGACTTGATAAGCCTGGGGGTCCCTTCCAACTCTACAGTTCTATGATTCTACGAAAATATATCAAAAGTTTACTAGTACATAAAACCATACAGTAAAAAACCATATAAAACTATTTAAATCGGACATCAATTAACCATTTTGGAAAGACGTGTTATTAATTGCCTGGATAGGCCTGGTAGAAGGAGTTAAGTATAAATAAGTTTTAGGGTTTTAATGGTAAGATAAGGTTAAAGTAAATTAAGACAATTAAATGACAGAAAACAGTGAAAGATGGAAAGGATTTGCTGAAAATAATAACTAGAATACAAAAAAGGGAGGTGTGAGGAGGTCGATGAAACAAGTTAATGAATGATAAAGATATGGAAATATTGGATGTGTTTTTAATTGTTTTTGCTTTTGTTTTTGTTCTGATGTATTGTGACTTTTGTTTGTTTGTTTTTTATATATGTATTGTAATGTATTGAATTGTATTGTTTACTTTTTCTCTTTCTTTTTTACTTCTTTCTGTAACCTTAAACTTTTAATAAATATTATTTAAAAAAAATATGAATAGGCCTGGTAGGATAGAAAAAAATTCAGCAGGCGTTTAAAAGTTGAAACAGAAGAAACCTGCTGAATTGGGCATGATAGAAATATAAGGAGCAAACTTTGTATAGCATCAAGTTGCAAATTAGTATAAGATTTTAAAGACTCATTATGCTTTATTCCAGCTCCCAAGAGACTGTGATCTACTCACAGTATAAAAAAAACCAACTGGCAGTGATCTACCCCGAGTTGTTCAGCTTTTTTTAGGGAGCCAGAGTTATTGAGCTTTTGGGGGGAGCAGGCTTTTCCCCCTCTTGGGTGGAGATCACAAAGGACGTCCCACAATCAACCAGTATATCGTGGTCGACCTGTTGGACATGCCTGTAATAACGTAATTAATGTTTGTGGCAGCTCCACTAAACAAGATTCATAACTCTTAATGCAATTATTATAGCCCTCATAATGGGATCATAAATGCCTTCATTATCTTTGTTTGGAAATTATATTTTATTGAGTTTTATGTGTGCATACAAACTCCACACAAACAATAACTGAGCACAATACAAAACATTTATAATAATTAGTCATGGTGCCAGCCGTGATCTGTAGGTCAGGAAAAAGAAGAAAGATTTGGAAAGATTAAGTCTTGTCACCTGTTTTCCTTACCTTGTCTCTCCAGAAGGAAACATCAGTCTTGCGGGTAGGGCAGGCGGGCAGAGTTCTAGTTACAAAAGATTAGGAAAGGGAAGCATCCAGAGTCAAATTTGTTCCTGTGAGATAACCCATGTACTACTTATGCCACGCTCGTTTCCCAAGAGAGAGCTACGCCACAAAACCACCCAACCATCCTTTTGCTGAGAGATCAAAAAAACCTCCCTAACTCTTAACACTTAGGCAAGGCAACCCTTCTCTCCCTGTAGGGAAACCACCTAAGACAGAGGGCTTCTCAAAGGCATCTATTTGGTGACTGGTTGGACTACATATGGACTTTGGTTCTATCCAGCAAGTCTTTTCCTACACTTAAAATGAAATAGATCCAAGATCTCCCGTATTCGGTTTGTACCTTTTGCTTGGACTACGTAGCTAATCGCCAGTCCCTAACTGCAAAACCAGTACTTCATGTGACTTTATTATTATTATTATTATTATTATTATTATTATTATTATTATTATTATTAATTCATCTATTCAATATCATGCCAGTCCCCAAGGAGCCCTGGTTTTAGCAAACAAGTGATAAAACTCTCTCTCTAATATATAAAACATACTAGAATCAGATGGACAACAGTACAACAGTATTTTATCAAAAGCTTTATTTGGCTGTTATTTCAATAAATAGACAATACAATGCAGTTGTGAGGGGGTGTTTTTTAGAGGGGAGGTTAGTGTGTATGAGTCCCTTCTAATCCCTGGGGTCCTGGATCTAGCAATGGTTGCTCTATGCTAGAAGGCAAATGGGTGGGGCAAAGACAAAACCGAGAGATGTGTGTGAGAACTGGGCTGGAAGCAGGTAGAAGTCAGAGTGGGAGAGCCATGCTTGACTTCTGCTTGAATCCAGCATCCTGTCAGGGGCCTGACTCCGCCTTCCCAAAGCCCAGGAAGCTTCTGCCTGGTTTAGGGAGGGAGGCACAATACTTACCTGTGGGATGTTGTGACACCCCACCCACAAACCACCACCCTACCCCGACCGTCCTCTCAAGCTGATGCTTCTGTCTCTAACTGTTCCCCTATGGAAAATTTCACCGCACGCCACTGAGCGATCATCAGATCATACCAGCAAGAGTCATAGAATTGGAAGGAACCAGGATCCCTTCAGTGCTTCAAGCCGTATTGTAGCCTTATGAGGCTTTGCCCTCGGGTGGGAAAAATATTGCGCCCGGGAAAGGGAGAATGGGAGTCAACAGACACTCAAGGAATAGTTTTGGAGAAAAAGCTTTTATTTCTACCATCCATGAAGTGGTAGAAGGAGCAAGTGTGATAACTCACAAAAACATGCACGAGTTCACAGTCATGTGCACAGAGTATATATTCCCCTTCTAGTTCCCTCCCCTTTCTCCTCCCTCAGGAGTCCTGCCCATGAGTTCCTCTGAGCATGAACTGAAAGCTGTCTTGGGACTATTGTGGACTCTTGGCATCCTTCCCAGGAAAGGGGTGAGAAGCCAAAGGGGGGTGGGTCGAGGAGCCTTGTGGTTCAGCGTGTCCAAAGATGTTGCAACTAGAGTGAGATAAGATTCAGTTCTCAGTCCTGAGTATTCTTGGCATTGACATAGTCTATTAATTAGCCTTTAAAAGTAACATTTTGCCTTGCAACAGCATCTTGTGAGAATAAGCAGAGGAAAGCTTTAGCTGTGGATTTTTAGAAGACAAAACGAATTTTGGACCGTTTTGAGGCCTGGTTGGGGGGGGGGACTTCGGGCCTAGGTGGGGTCACCTGTCCTCACCTCCTACAGTATGAGGAGCAGTTGAAGGAGCTGGGTGTATTTAGCCTGGAAAAGAGGAGACTGAGAGGAGATATGATATAATATGATAGCCACCTTCAAATATCTCAAGGGCTGTCACATGGAAGAGGAAGCAAGCTTGTTTTCTTCTGCTCTAGAGCAGGGGTCCCCAAACTAAGGTACGCAGGCCGGACTATATTTTGAAAAGGGAAAAAAATGAACAAATTCCTATGCCCCACAAATAACCCAGAGATACATTTTAAATAAAAGTACACATTTGATAGAAGAATGGCAGATGAAGATGATGGATTTTTTGGAGCTAGCCGACCTAACCGGAAGAGTCCACGACCAGAAGGAGGAGGAGTATCAGGAAGATTGGATCAAATTTAATGATTACTTAGTTAAACATGTTAAGTTAAACTAAATGAAAACAGCTTGCAGATAATAATAATAATAATAATAATAATAATAATAATAATTATTATTATTATTATTATTTATTATTTATACCCCGCCCATCTGGCTGAGTTTCCCCAGCCACTCTGGGTGGCTCCCAATCAGTGTTAAAAACAGTACAGCGTTACATATTAAAAACTTCCCTGAACAGGGCTGCCTTAAGATGTCTTCTGAATATCAGGTAATTATTTATTTCTTTGACATCTAATGGGAGGGCGTTCCACAGGGCGGGCGCCACTACCGAGAAGGCCCTCTGTCTGGTTCCCTGTAGCCTCACTTCTCGCAATGAGGGAACCGCCAGAAGGCCCTCGGCGCTGGATCTCAGTGTCCGGGCTGAATGATGGGGGTGGAGACGCTCCTTCAGGTATACAGGACCGAGGCCGTTTAGGGCTTTAAAGGTCAGCACCAACACTTTGAATCGTGCTCGGAAACATACTGGGAGCCAATGCAGGTCTCTCAGAACCGGTGTTATATGGTCCCGGCGGCCACTCCCAGTCACCAGTCTAGCTGCCGCATTCTGGATTAATTGCAGTTTCCGGGTCACCTTCAAAGGTAGCCCCACGTAGAGCGCGTTGCAGTAGTCCAAGCGTGAGATAACTAGAGCATGCACCACTCTGGCGAGACAGTTCGCGGGTAGGTAGGGTCTTAGCCTGCGTACCAGGTGGAGCTGGTAGACAGCTGCCCTGGACACAGAGTTAACCTGCGCCTCCATGGACAGCTGTGAGTCCAAAATGACTCCCAGGCTACGCACCTGGTCCTTTAGGGGCACAGTTGCCCCATTCAAGACCAGGGAATCCCCCACACCAACCCGCTCCCTGTCCCCCAAAAACAGTACTTCTGTCTTGTCAGGATTCAACCTCAGTCTGTTAGCCGCCATCCATCCTCCAACCGCCTCCAGGCACTCACACAGGACCTTCACCGCCTTCACTGGTTCTGATTTAAAGGAGAGGTAGAGCTGGGTGTCATCTGCGTACTGATGAACACCCAGTCCAAACCCACTGATGATCTCTCCCAGCGGCTTCATATAGATATTAAAAAGCATGGGGGAGAGGACAGAACCCTGAGGCACCCCACAAGTGAGAGCCCAGGGGTCTGAACATTCATCCCCCACCACCACTTTCTGGACACGGCCCAGGAGGAAGGAGCGGAACCACTGTATGACAGTGCCCCCAGATCCCAACCCCTCTAGACGGTCCAGAAGGATGTTATGGTCGATGGTGTCAAAGGCCGCTGAGAGATCCAGCAGAACTAGGAAACAGCTCTCACCTTTGTCCCTAGCCCGCCGGAGATCATCAACCAGTGCGACCAAGGCAGTTTCAGTCCCATGGTGAGACCTGAATCCCGAATGGAAGGGATCCAAATGGTCCGTTTCCTCCAGGCGTGCTTGGAGTTGTTCAGCAACCACCCGCTCAATCACCTTGCCCAAGAATGGCAGATTTGAGACTGGGCGATAGTTGGCCAAATTGGCCGGGTCTAAAGATGTTTTTTTAAGAAGCGGTTTAATGACCGCCTCTTTCAGCGGGTCTGGGAAGATACTTAATTGGCTTAGGATTTTATTTAAGGTAAATGATGAGTTAATATGTTTAATTTCATAATGTGAAGATCTAAGGATGTTAATGTTTAAGTTAAATTATTTTAAGAACTATGATTTGGAAAACCGTTAAAAGGGACATGCAATGAAATTCAACCAAGGGGAAGTCACTTAACAATGTTAATAAGCGTAATTTTTAATAAGGTTATGATTTATGTTTGTTTGTTTTATGTGTTTGTTTGTTTGTTTGTTTATAATGTTGTGAAAACCAATTAAAAAATTGGAAAAAAAATTAAACAAAAGCACACAGGCCGGATTTAGAAGGCGATTGGGCCGGATCCGGCCCCGGGCCTTAGTTTGCCTACCCCTGACTTACATCATAGGAGCCTACACAACACAAAACACTGTTGCTGTATGTAGGTTTTATTTTATTTGGTTCTTATAATTTGGAAATGTACATCCACTTTGTGTTTTCCTTTAATTTTGGGGGAGGATCCCAAGAGAGTGGAGCCCTAAGCTATAGCTTGTTTAGCTTATACGTAAATCCGGCGCTGGTTGCAGGCGGAGAGGGGGCTGCAAACCCCTCGTCCTCTCCCCCCCAGGCTCGTTTGCACGGGCGGCTCCCCGACTCCGCCTTGTCCCCGGGGCACCACCCGCTTCCCCTCCGACCGGTTTTTTTGCACGGTCACATGACCCGCCCACCCCTCCCGCTGCGCCGCATCCTCCGCTCGGTGGCGTTTCTCCGCGCGCTCGGCTGGCGACCATGGCGGCGCTCCGTTGCGCGCTGCTCTCCCTGCTCTCCGCCGCCGCCGCTGCCGTGTGGCCGCAGCCGCAGTCGCTGCTCCAGGCTGCCCAGGGCGGCTGCCGCCTCCGAGCCGGGAGCTTCCGCTTCGGCTATGCCGACTCGTCGGCCGTGGGGCCCGGCTGCTCGGTGCTGGACGAGGCGTTCCGACGTTACTGGGCGCTGCTTTTCCTTCCCGGACTCGAAGACGCAGGTCAGGAGGGGTTGGGGGGCTAAGGGTGATTTTCAAGGAGAAGCAGCGCTCTTCTTTCATATCTGCACGCTTTGCCTTCCCGGACGGGGCTTGCGGGATTTGATTGCCGAGGGGAACTCTGTGCATGCCCAGAGACACGCCGCTTCCTCCCTTCCAAGCTGGGGAACTGAAAGCTCCGAGCGTGGCCGAGTCTGACCCCTGTTTGTAGAAAGCATTGCATCCAGCAGTTTTATTTCAGTTTTAAAACTGTGAAAAGTATGCAAAGGATTTTATTTGTACTCATTCTGATAAACTAAATATTATGGTAGGAGGTGCTGCTGCTGTTTGGGATGTGTGTATGTGTAGGGGGGAAAAGAGTATCAACACAGTCATATGCATTATTTTAAAATGTACCACTACACAAATAATGCTGTTGTCCAAAATAATGCAAGTCATGTTTATTTAGTTGCATTTCTAAGACTTTTTATCTGGCCCCCAGAACCCTCTGTAGGCCACGCCCCTTCACAGTCCCTGCTTTGCACCCTTCTTGCATTGTCGTTGCTGTTTGACTCAAATGAGTCCTTGAACTCTGGTTGCACCTCTTGCAATAAATTGGGTGTATGTGTGTAGCAACTAGCCTGGTATACAAAGGTCAATTTTATATTTCTTGCTCTTCTTGCATTAGCCTCTAGCCCAGCTAGAACGTGGTTCATTATTTGCCTTCTGAACAACCTCAGGGCAATGTACCCTAAAGATAATGCAAAACAGTTAAAAGCACAAAAACAGCAAAGGTGTTTCAAATAGAAGTAGAGCCATACAAAGCAGACATTCGGGGTAAAGACCCATGTATGCAGTGGGGGAAACTTGTTGGAACGAAAATACCTCCAGTTGTTTCTGGAATGTATGTAGGTAGTAGTGGACACCTGTCATATCATCTGACAATGACACCTGCCAGAAGATCTCAGGATGTTTGAACGAGCAGCATCAAACGCCACGGACAGGAGGTTTCTTTTATTTCAGATAATAAATGGCATGGACAAGCAAAAGAAAAATGTGAATTAAAAACTCATAAATCTATGCCTAATGCCCATAGTCTTTATTATCTTATTGCAATTCAATTTTATATTGTATCATCATCGGGAGAGGTTTCCTTCCTCTCTTTGCTCCCCTTCAGAAAGGGAGTGGTTGGGCGCCTCCATCTTGGGTGTGGCAAAAGGGGTTTGGGGGCAAGTAGCGTGCGGTTTGTGGCAAGAGTTTGCTAGAGAAGAATAACAATTAATTTCTCTTACCTGCGCATCTATCACTATTTTTTAAAAAAATCTTAAAATTTCTTGCAAGACTGCATGGAGCAAAACATTCATAGTCATCAGTTTGTCTGACTAAGTTCATGTGATTTCCCTTCCCAACAAACACACACTTTGAGGGCCAATTACTAACTGCTATTAAATGCTCCAGCTACCGCACAATTGCACTCATTTCACACGCTAGCAAGGTTATGCTTAAAATTCTACAAGGAAGGCTCAAGCAGTATGTGGACCGAGAACTCCCAGAAGTGCAAGCTGGATTTAGAAGAGGCAGAGGAACCAAATTGCAAACATGCGCTGGATTATGGAGAAAGCTAGAGAGTTCCAGAAAGACATCTACTTCTGCTTCATGGACTATGCAAAAGCCTTTTGACTGTGTCGACCACAGCAAACTATGACTGTAGCCTTATGAGGCTTTGCCCTCCGGTGGGAAAAATATTGCGCCCGGGAAAGGGAGATGGGCGTCAACAGACACTCAAGGAATAGTTTCAGAGAAAAGCTTTATTTCTACCATCCATGAACTGGTAGAAGGAGCAAGTGTGATAGTTCACAAACAAGCACGGGTTCACAGTCATTTGCATAGAGCATATATTCCCCTTCCAGTTCCCTCCCCTTTCTCCTCCTTTTCAAAAGTCCTGCCCCATGTGTTTCCTGAGCATGTACCGAAAGCTCCTATCTTTGGGACTATTGGACTCTTCCCAGAAAGGGGGTGAGAACGGTTCAGTGTGTCCAACATATGTTTCTTTTCTCTTGATACAACGGTCACCATATTCTCAGCCCTAACAAAAATTTTCATAATATTATAGGGGGAGGGGGTAAATAAGTGTAATCGTTGCCCAAATTCATTGACAGGTGCTTCCTGTGCTAGCAGAGACAATGATTTATCTTTCATTTGTTCTTTCTTTCTTGCTTCAATTGTGTTTCGCAGGGAACGCCCACTCTGAGGACCCCTGTAATGAGCTTCTTGTGAGTGTCGCCGAGCCAGGGTGTGATGGCTACCCTTCGCTGGACTCCTCAGAGAGCTGTAAGAGAGCCAAGCGTCTTAGCACTACCTCCAGAGCTGTGTGGGCTACTGTGTTTGGGCAACTGTGCTCGAGAGCTGCTTCAGTGCAGCTGGAAAGTATTGCAAGCAGGTATTGGAGGCGCTGTGGTCTAAACCACTGAGCCTCTTGCGCTTGCCGATCAGAAGGTCAGCAGTTCAAATCCCCGCGACAGGGTGTGCTCCCGTTGCTCTGTTCCAGCTCCTGCCAACCTAGCAGTTCGAAAGCATGCCAGTGCAAGTAGATAAATAGGTGTCGCTGTGGTGGGAAGGTAAATGGCGTTTCTGTACTCTCTGGTTTCCGTCACGGTGTTCCGTTGCGCCAGAAGCAGTTCAGTCCTGCTGCCGCGTGACTCGGAAAGCTGTCTGTGGACAAATGCCAGCTCCCTCAGCCTGAAAGCGAGATGAGCAACCCCATAGTCACCACTGACTGGACTTAACCCCACCTTTACCTTTTGCAACAGACATCGCTCACTGAATGCTGAATTAGGGTATGTTTGTTTATTTCAGAGACTGACTGCCCTATGTACTTTAGGAAGAATAAGAGCAGGGGAGGTCAAACGGAGACCCTCCAGATATGACTGAACTTTTCATCTCCTCATCGCTGACCTCTGGCCATGCGGGTTGGGGTGAATAGGAGCTGAAGGGCCAAACACCTCAAGGGCACCAGGTTGGGGAAGGCTGGCCAAATTGATGGGAGTGAATTTTTGTTGCTGCTGCTGCTGAACATTTGGGAGTCAGGAACCCTTTCTAGGCTGCTGATAATCACAGTATAGATCCCTTATTTGCCTTCTGCTGACCCCTGCTATAAACCTAGAAGAACAGACTTGTTATCTATCCGAGGTTCCCTATATACAGTCATACCTCGGGTTACAGCTGCTTCAGGTTGCGTTTTTTCAGGTTGTGCACCACCAAAACCCAGAAGTACCGGAACAGGTTACTTCCGAGTTTTGGCAGTCGCACATGCGCAGAAGTGCCGGATTGCAACCCGCGTGTGCGCAGACGTGGGTTGCGAATGCTGCGGGTTGCGAACATGCATCTCGCACAGATCATGTTCGCAACCCGAGCGTCCACTGTACTGGCATAATTCTGAGTGAGGCTACATTTTAAGAAGTCCTAACAACTCTTTTGTTTGATGCTCTTTCAGATAAGCTGACCGTTTCAGATGAGCAGATGCTTCTGACAGCACAAACTGTATGGGGAGCTCTCAGAGGTAAGGCAGCTGAGCTTTCCCATGGTCCCTCTTCCTGGGTCTGTATAAGCAGAAGGTCCATAGCTCAGTAGCTGAGCATTTGCTTTGCATGCTGCAGGTCACAGGTTCAATCCCTGGCTTCTTCAGGTAGAGAGAGAGACTCCCTGCTTGAAATCCTGGAGAGTCACTCCCAGCTGGCTGAGCTCAATGGGCAAATGGGTCGACGCAGTAGAAGACAACTTTCTATGCTCCCATGTTTTGTTTTTAAGCCATGTACATTTAAGTTGATCTTGCCTTGTTCCACAGGGCTGGAGACCTTCAGCCAACTCGCCTGGAGAGACGATTATGGGGCGGTGAGTGAATATGGATCTTCCGTGGTTGGTGATGTTGATGTAATGCATCTGGTTGGCCACTGTGAAAACATGAAGGACCACTGGCCTGATCCTGCAGGCTCTCCTTTCTCTGCACTGGAATCACAGAACATCTGAATTACAGCCCATGGGATATTCTTCCCCACCTCTACCCACAATGAGGCTCAGCAGGGCCAGCTGAAAAAAGCGGCTGCAGAGGCTAAGTTCAAGAATGCCCAGTTCCTGAGTAAAAAGGGTTGCATTTTACTCCCACCATGCCCTCTGCCAGCTGTCATCCTTTCCCTCAGCCAAGGGATTTGAGATGACGGGGCAGAGGAAGTAGCTGCTAACTTCTGCTTTTGGGGTGTTTGATTGGACTAATCCAGCAAATACCATTTATTTTCAGGGCATGCCTGTCAGACTTGCAAACCTGGAGCAGCTGCCCCACACCAGGCAGAAGGCCCATGCTCAGATGTGATGAGAGATGTGAACCAACAACATTGGGTGGGGGTGGAAGGAAGCATCAGGTTTGGGGAAGGCTGCAGTAGTAAAAACTGGCCTGGGCCCTGGGGGTGCTCTGTGCCATCGAAGGGTTTTGGAGACTCTCCTGACTGTCGTTCATCTTCTCCCCTGCACAGTTCCACATAAACAAGACAGATGTAGTCGACTTTCCCCGCTTTCCTCACCGAGGTCTGCTGCTTGATACGTCACGCCATTACTTGCCTTTGAGAGCAATTCTGGAGACACTGGTATGTGAATTTGGCTTAGTGTCGCTAGTCTTTCTGGAAAACTCATGAGTCTGGTTCAGATGATCATCCGAATCAGAAGTGTAGAAACTGTGGTCCTCCAGATTTTTCTGCTCTATTACTGACATTTATTAGTAATAATCAGAAAACCCATTTTGGACTTTTTTTTTATGTAAAAAGGAAAATGAATTAACCTATTTGAGTTGGAAGATTGGGAAAATTTTAGAGGGATGATGTGAGTTGTAGTCCCAGCACCCAGGCTAGAGAAACACTGCTATAGAACCTAACCACAGTTACCGTATTTTTCGCTCTATGAAATCAAGGGAAAAAATATTATTTCCACCCCCAGCCCCAAAGAGCAACGGACAGGCTGCGTGTAGCCTGTCCACTTCTCCCAGAGCTTTTCGGGGCTGCGGGGGAAGCCTGGGTCCCCCCCCCAGCCCCAAAGAGCAAAGAAGCCAAGACAGCGAGCGGGATCCATAGCCGCGCAACCTCTCCAGCCAGGAGCTAAACCTCTCCAGTGCGGCTAAAGAAGAAGCCAAGGCAGCGAGCACAATCCATCCCGCTCGCTGCCTTGGCTTCCTCTTTAGCCTTGCGCAGCGGGATGGATCGCGCCCGCTGCCCACCGGGGCTGGACTAGATGACTCCTGGGGTTCCCTTCCAACTCTGCAATTCTATGACCTCAGAAGGTGTTGGGGGTCTCCACCACTGGAGGCTTTTAAGCAGCGGTTGGGGAACCATCTGCCTGGCGTTCTTTAGCTGTGATTCCTACATTGTGAGGGGGCTGGGCTAGATGACCCTCGGGTGGCCCTCCCAACTCTATACAGTCCTACAATTCTGCAGCAGGAGATCCACAGCCACTTCACGCAATGTCCACTCCCAATTTTCATTGGAGAGACATGTGGCTTCAGTGTCTAGGTAGGTACACCACTACCTGCCACTCTTCCCTCACCCCACTTAAGCCGAGGGAATTCCTGCCCAGAGAAGCTCCCAGGTGAGGCAAGGGTTAAGATCTACCTCTGGTAAATGGCTTTGTATCCTCCCCTCTTTCCCTTTTCTCTTCTTCTTCTATGCTATTTCCTTCTTTTGTGTTTTGTTTAATCTGTTCTTATTGTATACTAAAATAAAAGCTGCAAACTTTCCTTTTTTATAATATCCCCCCTCGAAACTAAAACGTTAATCTAGATAAAAACACTGATCCAGAGGAAAAGAAGGGGGTGGGGAAAGGAAGAAAAAAGAACAAGAGGTAGAGATAGAGAGATTTTTAAAAAGTTGGCTTCTTTAGCCTTGCGCTCGCTGCCTTGGCTTCCTCTTTAGCCTTGCGCAGCCTCCCCCGGCTGGAAAGGTTGCGCAAAGCTTTTCTACGAGGAGGGAGAAGGGACTGACTGGCCACGTCAGTCCCTTCTCCCTCCTGGGGAAAAGCCCGCAAGAGCTGCGCGAAACTTGTGTGCGGCTCTTGGGGGCTTTTCCTGCCTGCCTCCCCCCCCTGCATTCGCTCCATAGGACGCACAGACTTTCCCCCTTAGTTTTTAAGACGGAAAAAGTGCGTCCTATGGAGCGAAAAATCCGGTACTCCTGAAACGGACCAAGATGCACTTGCCATGATCTCTGCAGGCCTAATATAGTGCAACAGGGTCCTGCAATTCCGCAGTAATCCCAGTTTTAGCCTGAAGAATGAGAAGGGGTTAAAACTGGGAGGAAATGCACATGGACTGGAATGACCCCATCAGGGCAGGAAGTGGATCTGCTTTTTAAAAAAAGTGCAGAACCCTGCTATCTCTCTTTAGAAATCTGCTTCTGACTGCTGTGACTGTGGACTCCTCCCTCGCCCACAGGCACTGCTGCATTTATACATGTTGTGTCTGGCAGCAAATTGTCTTGTGACGTAGCGCTCAGCACCAGAGTAAAAGGTCTAGGATGTTCCTTTTCTGCAACGTTTAGGTTTAATTGCATCCAGGGGTTTATATATGGCATAAAACGTAAAAAGGAAGGGAGGGAGGATTAACAAACGAAACAGAACCCCTGAGAAAGCCTGGGCAAACTAAAGCAGTTTTGCGCGGTCCTGAAAAGAAAATGCAGGCTTCGCCAGGCAAACCTGCCTGCGAAGGGAATTCCAGTGGCAGGGGCCACAACTGAATAGGCTCTGACTTTAGCTGCCTGCTTCGCTTTGGAAGACTTGTGGGACTGGATAAAGCATAATGTGGAGCCTCTGAAATCTCTCTGAATAGTCTTAGTAATTGTAATAATTTATATGTGAATGTGGGACGTGGGTGGCGCTGTGGGTTAAACCACAGAGCCTAGGACTTGCTGATTAGAAGGTTGGCGGTTCGAATCCCCACGACGGGGTGAGCTCCCGTTGCTTGGTCCCTGCTCCTGCCAACCTAGCAGTTCGAAAGCACGTCAAAGTGCAAGTAGATAAATAGGTACCACTCCGGCGGGAAGGTAAACGGTGTTTCCGTGCGCTGCTGTGGTTCGCCAGAAGCAGCTTAGTCATGCTGCCCACATGACCCGGAAGCTGTACGCCGGCTCCCTCAGCCAGTAAAGCGAGATGAGCGCCGCAACCCCAGAGTTGGCCACGACTGGACCTAATGGTCAGGGGTCCCTTTACCTTTACCTTTTATATATGAATGTAGACCATGTTGGAGTAGAAAGGTGATTTCAGGCATGGTTCATGCAGGGATGGGGAACCTGTCGCCTTCCAGATTTCGCTGAACTCCCATCTCCCGTTGGTCCTTGCCAGCATGCCCTTTGGTCAGGGATGATGGGTACTTCGGTCCAACACCATCTGGAGGGGTCCAGGTTCTCCCCATCCCTAGATTTGTGGGTGGGGAAGACGTCCAGTGACAAACAGCACCCAGGGTACATCTCATTTTGGGACCTCATGTGAGCTCTGCAGGGCTGTTTCTTGAGAAAGCCAGCCAGCAGCTGTTGCTAATAAATTTCTCAGGACTGTGTGTGCTGCTCTCCAATTCCCTAGGATGCCATGGCCTATAACAAATTCAACGTGTTCCACTGGCACATTGTGGACGACCCATCCTTTCCGTACGAGAGTGTGACATTCCCAGATCTCAGCCAAAAGGTAAGTCAGCACAAGGAGTTTAACAAAGAATCCCTTAAGGACTTGGCAAGGGACTTGTACATGACCTCCCTCCTCACCCCTGCTTTTGTTTAGGAAATTCTTGGGAATACAGTGTTTGTGTTGAAACCTAATGCTTGTGCCCTTCTGGAAAACTGCAGCGTTGCGTGCATCTGAAGTATACAGTGGTACCTCGGGTTACATACGCTTCAGGTTACATACGCTTCAGGTTACAGACTCCGCTAACCCAGAAATAGTACCTCAGGTTAAGAACTTTGCTTCAGGCTGAGAACAGAAATCGTGCTCCAGTGGCGCGGCGGCAGTGGGAGGCCCCATTAGCTAAAGTGGTGCTTCAGGTTAAGAACAGTTTCAGGTTAAGAACAGACCCCCAGAATGAATTAAGTACTTAACCTGAGGTACCACTGTATTTCCTATCTTGTCCTGGTCTTGTTTGCTCATTGGGAAACTGCCTTTCTGGGGCAGTTGAGTGTCCATATCTTAGCTGGAGACCCATGGCTGAGCTCCCTGGACCTGCTCCTCCTCCTATAGAAGCATGGGATCATAGTTGGAAGGGACCCTGAGGGTCATGTCGTTCCAACAGTCTGCAGTGCAGGAGTCTCATCCAAAGCATCCATGACAGATGGCCATTCAAACCCTTCTTAAAAACCTCTAATGAAGGAGAGTCCACAACCTCCCGAGAGAGACTGTTCCACTGTCAAACAGCTCTTACTGTCACCCCATTGAAACAGGCTTGTCCACCTGCCTTTTACCTGGACCTAGTAAATCATGGTGGCAATCAGGCGGAGTGGTAGATGCCACTGCCTTCTTACTTATTGGCTCTCTGCCTGACAAGCAAAGCAGGTGGTAGGCAAAATGTAAAGGTAAAGGACCCCTGGACGGTTAAGTCCAGTGAAAGGCAACTATGGGGTTGCAGCACTCATCTTGCTTTCAGGCCGAGGGAGCTGGCGTTTGTCCACAGACAGCTTTCCGGGTCATGTAGCCAGCATGACTAAACTGCATCTGGTGCAACGGAACACCGTAATGGAAACCAGAGCGCATGGAATGCCGTTTACTTTCCCGCCGTAGCGGTACCTATTTATCTACTTGCACTGGCGTGCTTTCGAACTGCTAGGTTGTCAGGAGCTGGGACAGAGCAACAGGAGCTCGCCCTGTCCCGGGGATTTGAACTGCCAACCTTCCGATCAGCAAGCCCAAGAGGCTCAGTGGTTTAGACCACAGCACCACCGGCATCCCTTTTTTAAAAGTAGGTGGTAGCAATGAGGAACAGGAGCAGCCTGAACAGCTGGTGAAAATGGCAGTGAAGGTACAGACTCCTAGAAGGAGGGTGTCTTTCCCAAAGAGTCTCCAAAGCCTGGAGTTGGTGCTATGCTTGTCTTTCTTTAAACTTTTGAGGGTGGGCAATATCTCTGCCAGGCTGAAGGCCCCATCTGCACTATACATTTATAGTGGCATCATACCACTTTAAACAGTACTGCCCCCCCCAAACATGGGAACTGTAGTTTTTCCAGGGTGCAGAGAATTGTTGGGAGACTCACATTATCTTCACAGAGCTACAGTTCCCAAAGTTCTCTGGGAAAGAGGGATTGTTTGCTAAACCACTCTAGGAATTGTAGCTCCGAGAGGGGATTAGGGGGGTCTCCTAGGAATTCTTAGCACACTTAACAAACTACATGTCCCAGGATCCTTTGGGGGAAGCCATGACTCTTTAAAGTTGCATGATACTGCTTTAAATGTATAGTGCAGATGGACTAGGTGAGAATTTTGAATAATCCACTTCTCTTAAGGACTCCAGCCTAGACACAATTTTAACAAGACTTGCAGGGCAGTAAGATGTTGTGACTTTGTGCCTTTCCAGGGAGCCTTCCACCCTACCACCCATGTGTACACTGCCAGAGATGTGAAGACAGTGCTTGAGTATGCCCGGCTGCGTGGGATCAGGGTGATTTCCGAATTTGACACGCCTGGCCATACTCTCTCATGGGGTCCAGGTAAGAGCTGGCCTGCAGCGACCAGCTGAATGGCGTACTTAGTGGTTCCTGGAGCCAATGTATATTCTGAGTCTAGAGTTAGGATCTGAACACAAACGAAAACCACCTGGCTGAAAGAGGTGTGCTAGATGTGTAGCTCTTTGAGCCAGGTGCTTATATGACTCTTTCAGTGTGTAAATCTAATGTATTTAACATTATATGTAACATCTAATTCCTTAAAAATCAGCACTGGCACACCACAGGGATGTGTGCTAAGTCCCTACCTGTATTCATTGTATACATACGATTGTGTATCATCTGACCCGTCTACTGCAATTATTAAGTTTGCAGATGACACCACCGTAATGAGTTTAATAACAGGTGAAGATGAATCAGCGTATAGAGGGAGGTCCAAAAAAATCTACATGGTGCCTAGGGAACAACTTGCACCTTAATATCAACAAGACAAAGGAGATGGTGTTGGACTTTCAGAGGAAGAGAGGAGAACTAGCCCTGCTGTACATCGGGGAGGGCTGTGTGGAGAGAGTCTCTTCCTTTAAATTCCTAGGAGTTAATCTCAGTGAAGACCTTACTTGGAAAATCAATACAACCCAGGTGGTTAAGAAAGCCCAACAGAGACTGCATCTCCTCTGAGTATTGCGAAAGAACGATGTCAATCAACATTTGATGATCTCCTTCTACTGGTCCACAATAGAAAGTGTCCATTCATACTGCATCAGGGTGTGGTATGCTGGTTTGACATCATCTGATAGGAAGTGCCTACTGAGGGTGTTGAATACAGCACAAGATATTATGGGCTGCCCCGTGAATCTGCTGGATGAAATAGCGGAAGATCGTTGCCTCAGGAAAGTGAGGAAAATTCTCAGGGATGATTCACACCCTGGCCGGCACTTTCTTGACCTGCCCTCAGACAGAAGATTTAGAAGCATGATTAGTCACACCAACAGGGTAAAGAACAGCTTCTATCCATGGGCTGTTAGGCTGCTGAATGAAAAGATAACAACAGGGCAACTGACTTTCGAGTTTGGTGGGTGTGCGTCAGTAAACGAGGGGAATTAAGACTAAGAGAGCTGAGTGGGGGGTGCTTGTGTAATCTCACTGTATACAAGTTGTACAAGTGACAATAAAGTATTTCAATTAAATGTTCAGCAGTTAAAAGGCAAGCTGCCCAGCGGGATGATGGTCCTTCCAAGGTGCCTTGATTTGTGTGTTTCATGCATACTTGGGAAGCAGGAATAACTTCCTTCCATATTGCTAGAATGCTTGAATGTAGGGATAGGAAACCTGTGATGCCTCAAATGCTGGACTCTGAATGCCCACCAGCCTCGTGCAGCGTGGCCAGTGGGCAGGTCTGATGGGAGCTGCGTATCATTGTGGTTTGGCCCACTTGTTCATCATGTAGAGCAGGGCTAAGGGATACCGTATTTTTCACTCTATAAGACACACCAGACCACAAGACGCACCTAGTTTTTGGAGGAGGAAAACAAGAAAAAAAATATTCTGAATCTCAGAAGTCAGAACAGCAAGAGGGATCGCTGCGCAGTGAAAGCAGCAATCCCTCTTGCTATTCTGGCTTCTGGGATAGCTGCGCAGCCTGCATTCGCTCCATAAGACGCACACACATTTCCCCTTACTTTTTAGGAGGGAAAAAGTGAGTCTTATAGAGCAAAAAATACGGTATATTTTGGCTATGTAGATCAGCTCCTAGTCTTCCAGGCCAAATTTGAAAGTTGGGCCAGGCCACTCACCTGTTGATCACCTGACGACACAACAAATCCCTGAAGTCGGGAGTTCGGAGCAGCACTCAGAACTTCCAGAAAGGCCATCATGGAGTTTCAAAGCACTTGAGGCCTTAGCTTTGCCACCTGCCAGCTGATGGGCAGTAGAGCTGCCACCCACTTTCCCTTGCCAATGCACAACCAAGTGTGCACTTTAAGGCTCCAGATCAAACACTGGCAACCACACATCAGGTGTGAAACGGGATGGGCACGGTTTGGGGAAAACAGCCCCGTAGGCCAAATTTGAACCCCTGGTGGGCCAGGTTTAGAGCCTGCGGACTAGAGGTTCCCCACCCCTGCAGTAGAACACTGAATGTTTTAGGTTGCCATCCTAACCCCATTCCTGGAAGCAGGCCCCATTGAATTCAATAGGGCTTCCTTCTGAGTATCATCAAAACAGAATCATTGAGTTAGACGGGACCCCATGGCTCATCTAGTCCAACCCTCTGTGATGCAGGAATATGCAGCTGGCCCATACAGGGCTCAAACCCGCAACCAACTGAGCTAACTGGCAGGTATATAGATTCAGGTAGGTAGCCGTGTTGGTCTGACACAGTCGAAATAAATTTAAAAATTGTCCAGTAGCACCTTAGGGACCAGCTAAGTTTGTTCTGGGTACTGTATAAGCTTTCGTGTGCATGCACACTTCTTCTGATATATAGACATGGTTAGGATTGGGCTGTTACTGACTTGTAACTTTCTGCATGCTATTCTTAGCTTTCTTTCCATTGGGTCCCTTTTCGTAAAGGGGACCAGTGCGTCATCTTCTAGGGCCACCCATGCAGAGCTTGCTTTTTTCTTTTGTCCACTGCTCCGTGTGTTTAAGCAGACTCCCTGCCACCCCAATCCAACCCCTGCCTTTGTTTTTTGTTTTTTCCTCATCTTAGGCATCCCAGGCTTGTTGACTCCCTGCTATGTGGGCCCAAATCCCTCCAGAAGCTACGGGCCAGTCAACCCCATCCTCAATACAACTTACCAGTTCATGGCCAAGTTTTTTGCCGAAGTCAGTTCTGTGTTTCCAGACTTCTACATTCACCTGGGAGGAGATGAGGTTGACTTCACATGCTGGCAAGTCTTGATTTCTTGGAGGGATCTGGAGTGGGAGTGACAGGGAGGTGGGGGAAGGAGAGAAGCTGTCTGGTTTCAGTGACCTGTGTCTTCTGGGATAATAGTTTTGTTGTATATGTACAGCTTTCTTGCTTTGAGCCATAAGTGTAGTGTTTCTCCTCTTCTCTCCTCTGCGCGCACGCGCTCTCTCTCTCTCTCTCTCACACACACACTCTCTCTCACACACACACACACACACACAGAGTTTTCTTGGGAGATGTTGTGAATCTTTCAAAAACTCCTCCACCCATCGTCAGAATTGCTGAAACTCTGTTTGGTCCTTCCTTTCTGACTTCCCTATCCCATAAAATTGACTAGATAAATGCATCCATGCAAGCAACAAATCAATGACTCATATTTTTAATATGTAATTGGCTGATTGTGTTATGCCAAAAGAACAACAAGTCATAAAACAAGCGCAATATATTTACATGCCTATCAGATACAGTCTCCCTTTCCATCTCTGTTACTTTCCATCAGACTACATATCCAGAGCATTTTAATTATAGATATCCACAAGAAAGGCAGATTTTCCTGACCAGTAGGCACGCTCTGCCCATTGTTTTCAGGTTTCTTCCTGTCATCTGGAGTGGCTAGAATCATAGAGAGATATAGTTGGCAGGGACCCCAAGTGTCATCTAGTCCAACCCCCTGCAATGCAGGAATCTCAACGAAAGCATCCATGACAGGTGGCCACCCAACCTCTGCTTAGAAATCTCCAAGAAAGGAGAGCCCACAACCTCCTAGGGGAGTCCGTTCCACTGTCAAACAGCTCATACTGTCAGAAGGTTCTTCCTGATGTTTCATCAGAAACTCCTTTCTTGTAACTTGAAGCTGTCCTACCCTCCGGAGCAAATCATGCTTGCTTAAAAAAGAAATCAAAATCAAAAGGGATTCTGCTAAAAGAAAGGGAGGATTCTACTTTGTATACTGCAGTTCATTGTGATTACGTAGTAAATCACCCGATGTGTGCAGGATGAGAGGCCCGTTCTTGTTTTTATTTTTGTTGAGCCTCGGAGAAAGCCATCATTCAGAGCCTTTGGTGGGTGCTACCTGTTCTGTGGTTCTAATCTGGCTCATCTCCACCCCATGCAGGAAGTCCAATCCAGATGTCCAGGCGTTTATGCAGAAGATGGGGTTTGGCGAAGACTATACCAAGCTGGAATCATTCTACATCCAGAGGTAAGGACCGTTGCTCTCAGTTGCTCAGGGGCTTTCACAGAGCAAGAGCTGTAGGGACTGCTGCCAGATGTTGGAAGATCACCCCAGTCTTCCAGGTGATGCTTCTCGTACAGGTGCATTCCTCTGCTTTTGGCCTTCCCAGGGAAATGTGAATTAAAAAAATACTTGCAGGGATTATCAAAACTCTGATCTCCCACCACCTCTCCAAATCTCAAAATATTTACAGGGAAAGTCCTTTTTGGTTTTGCCCCTTTCTTGAACTGTTTGGAAAACTGTACCAAGTTAGGTTGCAATTCTATACACGCTTATCTGGGAGTAAGCCCCACTTAAGTCAGTGGGACCTACTTCTGAGTAGCTGGGACTGGCTAGTAGCACTTGAGCCTCTTCTTTCTCCCTCCCCCAGTTGCTTTGACTTTTGGCACAGTCCCTGGAATGTAACCCCCCACTTAAGTTGTGGGCTTACTGTGTGGTTCTCCAATTTGTTCAAATAAGAAACTATGGTTACCACTTTTAGAACAAACCATGGTTTTGAAGTTAATAGCCTGACATTTCCCAAAGCTGGCGATTACAGTTTTTCTGTTGGACCAGGTGGGCAACTTGTTAATTAATTGCAGCTCGTGCAAAATAAGGATTAAAGGTGCTCTGTGGACTCATTCATACCTTGGTTTATTAAGCTAAGATATGACTATCCAAGCCAGCTTTTTGAGTTGGGAGTGCAAATGAAGGAACACAGGAAGGTGCCTTATCCTGGGTCAGTGTTCCCTTGAGCGTCCGTCAAGGCTGCGAACAGCAGCACTGTTGTGGCGTTCAGTCCACTTCCACTGCGCCAATCTGCTTCTCCCAGTTACAGCAGAGTATCTTGAGCAGCAGGGGACGCGGGTGGCGCTGTGGGTAAAAGCCTCAGCGCCTAGGGCTTGCCGATCGAAAGGTCGGCGGTTCGAATCCCCTCAGCGGGGTGCGCTCCCGTTGCTCGGTCCCAGCGCCTGCCAACCTAGCAGTTCGAAAGCACCCCCAGGTGCAAGTAGATAAATAGGGACCGCTTACTGGCGGGAAGGTAAACGGCGTTTCCGTGTGCTGCGCTGGCTTGCCAGATGCAGCTTTGTCACGCTGGCCACGTGACCCGGAAGTGTCTGCGGACAGCGCTGGCCCCTGGCCTATAGAGTGAGATGGGCGCACAACCCTAGAGTCTGTCAAGACTGGCCCGTACGGGCAGGGGTACCTTTACCTTTACCTTTATCTTGAGCAGCAGTGTGCCTGTGCGGAAGGAATCTCAGCCATGCAGTAAAACTCATACAACAGCTGCTTCTATTCTGCGAAGCTTTATTTACAGCAGCAAAACAACAAATCAGCCAGGAGAGAGCAGAGACATGATGCTTCTCCTATCGCAGCCAAAACAGAAAGTAAAAACGTTCACATCACAAAGTACAATACCTGTATGCAAACACACCCCCAGTGACAGGACGTCATTCCCCTTGAGATGTTAACTCTGTAAGCTCTGGGTATCCTCCCAGTCAGACCATTGGTCCATCTAGCAACTCTCCAGGTTTTCAGAGAAGAACCATTCATCACCCCTACCTGCAGAAGCTGAGGACCTTCTGCATGCAAAACAGATGCTCTAGCACTGAGCTGTGGCCCTTCCAGGTACTTTGCCTGGAATATAGGCAAAGTAGGAATAAATGGGAAGGATGGGAAACACCTCCTTTTTTCAGTAGTTCTTTCTCTTTACCCCAGGCTGCTGGATATAGTCTCCTCCTACCACAAAGGCTACGCGGTATGGCAGGAAGTTTTTGATAACGGAGTGAAGGTGAGAAGGCCTCTAGGTGAATTTCCAGGTGCTGTGTCCTATTCACAACTTTTTCTCCCCTCCACCAACCAATATATGGATCTGCTTCTTGCATGGTGCAGCAGAAATTCTTCTCCCCCCCCCTCGCCCCCCACTCCTGCCTTCTCTTTTATGTGGACAGCTGGGCAAAAGTCGTGGTAGCGGAGCAATTACATGTAGGAAGAACATTTGCGTCCTATGGATCCCTCTGCCCCTCTCCCCACCAAATGCTGCTGAGCAGGAGTGTCGTTGAATTTGCAACCTTCCCATATACAGTGGTACCTCTGGTTGCAAACGGGATCCATTCCAGAGCCCCTTTCGCAACATGAGCAGAATGCAACCCACGTCTGCGTGTTAGCGGGTCGCGATTTGCCGCTTCTGCGCATGAGCATGCAGCAAAACCCAGAAGTAACCCTTTCCGGTACTTCTGGGTTGCTGTGGGGCGTATCCTGAAAGAACGTAACACGAAGCGAATGTAACAAGAGGTATGACTATTCCTTCTCTAGGCAAAGTACCTGAAAGGGCCGCAGCTCAATGGTAGAGCATCTGATTTGCATGCAGAAGGTCCCAAGTTCTATCCTCAGCATCTACAGGTGGGAATGGATGTACCATATTTTTCGCTCTATAGGACGCACCGGACCATAGGACACACCTTGTTTTAGAGGGGGAGAACAAGAAAAAAAATTTTTCTCCCTCTCTGCACAGCGCCCCTTCAGCTAAGCGGCAGGAGAAGCGGAGCCCGTTCCATTTCTCCTCCCGCTGTGGCTATCTGTGAAGCCAGGAGAGTCTTGCTCTCCTGGCTTCAGCGAAAGCAATGCAAAGCCATGGAGCCTGCATTCGCTCCATAAGAAGCACACACATTTCCCCTTAATTTTTGGAGGGGGAAAAGTGTGTCTTATAGAGTGAAAAATACAGTAGCTTGGAGGGGTGTGTGGCCTGGGGAGAGTTCCAAGGGCAAGGTAGAGGGGCCTGGAGGGCTGCATTTGACCCCTGGATCAGAGGTTCCTTACCCCTGGGCTGGGTCAAGGTCGCAAAATTAAGTTCCTGAGAGGCCAGAATAAGAGCCATTTTCCCATTGGCGCATCCCCACTGTGGCTGCACCAAGCCTGGGCATCTGGCTGGACTGCTGTATCGAAGCACATCACTTAGGGATGAATGAATCTTTCATCACCTACAAGTCTCATCTTGGCCTTGCTGCCTGGGACTAATGGGAATCGAGAGCCCATCCACACCTAGAGGGGCACCAATTCCTTAACTCAGGGCCTGCATGAGTTGGCAGCCAGTGGAGCTGAGAGAATATCACAAAAAGTGTGCTTGATCTCATGCGCCGTTTGGCTCTTTCTAGCTGCTACTCATCTGCAATGCTGCTTCTCTGCCTCCTCTCTCCCAAAGCCGCTTTGCATTTCTGACCCACCTTTTGTTCTCTTTAAGCACTAAGCTGTTCTGCTCTTTCTCTAAAGAGGAATAGGTTGCCACTGTCTGTCCCGTTCAGGCTGTTCCTGTATCTCAGGAGTGCCTGGAACATTGATCTTCGCATGTAGCCTGTGTGTGTTTGGTCCCTTTGGCTCACCTTCTTCTTGTTTTGTGTTCTCATTTTGTATTTTTCTGTGGTGAACTGCCCTGGGATCTCTGGATGAAGGACAGCATGCAAATATTAATATTAGGAATATTAGTAATACAGTGGTACCTCTGGATGCAAACAGGATCCGTTCCGGAGCCCTGTCCGCATCCTGAAGCAAATGTAACACGCAACTGCACGGGTCGCGTTTCGCCGCTTCCGCGCATGTGCATGACGCCATTTTGAGCGTCTGCGCATGCGCGAGCAGCGCAACCCGGAAGTAACATGTTCCGTTACTTCCGGGTCACCGCGGAGCGCAACCCGAAAACGCTCAACCTGAAGCGTATTCATCCAGAGGTATGACTGTAATAATAATAATAATAATAATAATAATAATAATAAATTCATACATCTGAGCAAATCAATGCAAGCATATCAATCACATGGTACGTCTGATTAAGCACATGCTACACATCTGATGAATGGTGATCCTGGGATGTCCTGGGGTGTGCGTGAGGGTTGGGGTGGGGATTTAGTCAGAATCATGGTGGTGGGGAAAGGGTTATCCCCTCTCTGGTTTCCTTATTTTTTTTCTAATTTATTACTATTGTCATTTTAATTTATGCATTGCTTCCCATGGAACATGCCAAAGTGATTTACGATACAATAAAGACATATACAAAACACATTTTTTTTTTAAAAAAATATCCAGTACCACCTATAGAGCCAGTGTGGTGTAGTGGTTAAGAGCGGTAGTCTCGTAATCTGGGGAACCGGGTTCGCGTCTCTGCTCCTCCACATGCAGCTGCTGGGTGACCTTGGGCCAGTCACACTTCTCTGAAGTCTCTCAGCCCCACTCACCTCACAGAGTGTTTGTTGTGGGGGAGGAAGGGAAAAGGAGAATGTTAGCCGCTTTGAGACTCCTTAAAGGGAGTGAAAGGCGGGATATCAAATCCAAACTCTTCTTCTTCTTCTTCTTCTAAATTTGTTCTGGTATAAGCTTTTGTGTGCATGCACACTTCTTCAGAGACTGAGGTTGATGGACTTCCATTTCATGCAGCTCAATGTGGCACCCTCCATGATTCTAGATTCAGGTAGGTAGCCATGTTGGTCTGACGCAGTCGGAATAAAAATTAAAAATTGTCCAGTAGCACCTTATAGACCAACTAAATTTGTTCTGGTAATAAGCTTTCGTGTGCATGCACACTTCTTCAGATACCACATATATAAAATATATATAAATATATTAGATACATAAAACAGCTGCAGATATAAAAAGTGGTCGAAACCATTGCATATAAAAAGCAACAAGAAAGAAAGCAACTCTGCAGGTTGGAACAACAACAGCACCTGCTTATAAATTCAGTTCCAAGTCTGGTGCAGATACCAGCTAGGATAAAGCTCTCCATTTAGAATGGCTGTAATTCACGTGGCGTCACTGTTGCGGCTTCCCATGATTCCACAGCCGCCCTGCTGTCTTAACTGAACACTGCGCCCTTCCCTGGTCTCTGGTCTCTGACGTGCTTCCCTGCCTTGCTTCTCTTTTGGGCAGGTGAAGCCTGATACCCTAATACACGTGTGGAGAGAGAACGCGGGGACATACCAAGCAGAGATGGCTCGCGTCACCAAAGCCGGCTACCGGGCTCTTCTCTCTGCCCCCTGGTATCTCAACCATATCTCTTATGGACAGGATTGGATGGCGGTTCACCAGGTGGAGCCATTGGCATTTGAAGGTACGTTCCTGGTGTTGGCTTTCCTGCCATCTCGGGTGCTGTGAGGCAGAGAGGTTGTGAGTCACCAGGCCCGCAGGGTGTCAGCCCTTGTGTGTGAAGCCCTAAATGACTTGCGACCCAACCACCTAAGAGCGCTTCCCTGAGTCTTGACCCCCTCAGGCCCTACGATTGGCAGGGGAGGCCTCCTAGTGGTGGCACAACTGGGTGTTGCCTTATTGGCACAGAACTGGAGCAGGGCCTTCTTGGTGGTGGCTCCCCATTTGTGGAATGCCCTCCCTCATGTGGTGCGTCTCTCTCATCATCAGGAGGTAGTTAAAGGTATTCTGGTTCACCCAGGCAATTTTTTATTATTATTATTATTATTATTATTATTATTATTATTATTATTTATTAAAGATTTTATTGATTTACAAAAGTGTGCAATGTCTCTCTCTCGTATTTTTTTCCATGTAACATTTTGACAAATCAGTTTCATTTGTTGAGATATTAGGAAGAAAAGGGGGAAAGAGGTGGAGGGGCGGGAGATGGGTGGGGGTGCGGTCGGGTGGCGATGTTTCTATTTTACTTACTATATGTAGGGTCTGGTGTCAGCATTGCTTGTGCAGGTTCTCTGCTGTTCACTTGTGTTCCTTTGGTGGTGAGAGAGGTTGGGGTTGGCCTAGGGTGTGGCTGTTCATTTGTGGTTGGCTGTGGTGGTCTTTGTTTTCATGTGTGAGAGGGGTGGGTGGGAGGTTCACCCAGGCAATTGAAATTAATGGTTGTGAGGGTATGTGATTGTTTTTAGATGTTGTTAATGTTTTAGATGTTATTGTTTTAAATACATTTTTTGAAGAATACATCTTGTTGACAGGCAGCCCAGAACAGAAGAAGCTGGTGATTGGAGGAGAGGCCTGCATGTGGGGTGAATATGTGGATGTGACAAACTTAACCCCAAGACTCTGGTAAGATCAGTGGTCACTGATGGAGGCCCTTCTTGAGCTCATTTGCCTGGTTGGAATGTGTCCTTGACGCCTCTGGTTTCCCAGCAGGAGAGAGGGGCAGCCAGGTTTGCTGATGATACTAAGCTAGTTCAGAGTTGTTAAAATACAGAAAAAAGAGATAGCGACGAGATGCAAAAGGACCTCTCCAAACGTGTTTAGGCAAATGTAATTCAGTGTAAACAAGTGTAAGGTAAAGGTAAAGAGACCCCTGATTGTTAGGTCCAGCCACGGACGACTCTGGGATTGTGGTGCTCATCTCGCTTTACTGGCCGAGGGAGCCGGCGTACAGTTTCCAGGTCATGTGGCCAGCATGACTAAGCCACTTCTGGTGAACCAGAGCAGCACACGGAAACTCCGTTTACCTTCCCGCCGGAGCGGTACCTATTTATCTACTTGCACTTTGACGTGCTTTCAAACTGCTAGGTTGGCAGGAGCAGGGAGCGAACAACGGGAGCTCACCCCATCGCGGGGATTCGAACTGCCAATCTTCTGATCGGCAAGTCCTAGGCTCTGTGGTTTAGACCACAGCGCCACCCGCGTAATTCAGTGTAAATTCAGTGTAAACAAATGTAAAGATCCCTTCGGGGCCAGGGACCTTAACCTCAGACCTGGGGGGTCATATCTGTCTAGCCCAGGGGTCGGCAAAGTTTTTGTGACTTGGGCCGGTTCACAGTCCCACAGACGCTGCGGTGGGCCAGTGTGTGTGTCTGTGCGCACACGCATACACGCGCAAACGCTATTTCCAGTGTGGAGGAGGTGTGCGCAGCTTCCCATTGGCTGCAGGAGCTTTCTGCAGCCAATGGTAAGCCGGCCAGCGTCACAGAAGGCGATCCCCGTTCTGCTTCGCACCGGTTTAGAACGGCGCATGGGAGCTGACCGAGCGGGCAGCAAGGGTCCATGGGCCGGTTAAACGGCCCCCATGGGCCACTTGTGGCCCATGGTTCTTAGGTTGCCGACCCCTGGTCTAGCCCTCTGAACTCTCCCCAGGCTTCACATCCCAAGAGTTCTTCCCTGGCTGGAATGTGTCCTTGGACTCCAAACTGCCTTTCATTTGCGTGTTTTGCTTGATGGGATGGAGACTAGAGAGGCATGTGTAGAAACTAGCCTCCTGAGCTCAGGTAAAATATTCTCATGCTTCCTTGGCTGCTATTGCCTCTGGCTCTGCCTGCCTCTGGCATGTGGGGCCCAGAAGATTTCCCAGCAGAGGATTTTTTCCATTTGCTCTTAATATGTGTAGAGGAGATTCTGCTCTTGCCATTATATCTTGTCTATTTCTATTTCTATTTTACTTCTGGATTGTGGTGGCCTCTGGCTTTAAGGCTTGAATGCCGTGATTGCAATGGAGGAGGCGGCCTCCTTCCCGCTACCAGAGCCATCATTGTGTTCACTGGATTGATTTCTGTCCTGGACACGGAATGAATAAGCAAATAGTGACAATTTCAGCTCCTGCTTCCGTTTTGGTCAGAATTCTCACGTTCCAAGCAAGCGTGCCATTCCTTAAGCTTAACCCAGGAGCCTCTCTCGCCAGGTTTCAGTGCTTGCTCCTCAGATGTGACTTATTTTCACCAGCCCTGTCACAGTTTCTGACGTGAGCGCTGTGCTGTTTTATTTCCTCAAGGCCTAGAGCTGGGGCTGTAGCAGAGAGACTCTGGAGCAACGCAACGGTCCGAGACCTGCAGGATGCATATAGGAGGCTGGGAGACTTCCGGTGCACCCTCCTCAGGTAAAACTCTCTGCTGAGCCCTCTGGGAAGCTTTGTTTGTACCTGTGGCTCTCAAGAACGAACGTGCAACGTGACCGTTGCATTAGCCATGGAGAATGAAAAGGGCCGGACGAACCTGTGAGCTGTAGCTGGATATGCAAAGGCCTTTGTGCTTGATGTCCTGAGATTTCCATGCACCTCAGGCAGCAATCCTGTACGCTGGGGTGGGGAACTGGATCTGGCCATTTGTCAATCACCGGCTGAGACACCAGGCGACCTGCTTTGGTCCCTGCACTGTTTGAAATCAAACCGTGTGGGTAAAGGCACAGTACATTGCAAGCCTTAGCAACCAGCTGATTGTCAACGCTTGCAGAGCATAGATCAGTGGTGCCAGCAAATCTGCTTTGGGCCAAGCCCCACCTGTAACTGCCTTGCTCCTCGTATTTTATGCCAGGCGCAGGGCAGGTGGGCATGGCTTGGCCGATAAGGTTGACGCAGTCTTGTCTGCCAGTTAGTGAGACTGGGCAGACCTTGTTAAGCTGCTGTCCATGCTTGACTGGGAATGATAGAATTACAGAGTTGGAAGGGACCTGACCTGAGGATCCTCTAGTCCAGGGGTCAGCAACCTAAGGCCCATGGGCCACAAGCGGCCCACGGGGGTTGTTTAACCGGCCTATGAGCCACCCCCCAAACCGAGCCACCCGCTTGGCGAGTCCCCATGCACTGCACTAAACCAGTACAGCACAGCGCGGGGACTCGCTTCCACATCACTGGAAATTGAATCTGCACATGCGCATACACCAAAAATCACATCTGCGCAGACACAGACGCTGGAAATTGCAGGCATGTGGGCACGATCCAGCCCACAGAGGGATCTGCGCTGGAGTGAACTGGCCCAGGCGAGGTAAACCTTGCCGATCCCTACTCTAGTCCAACCCCCTGCAATGCAGGAATATGCAGCTGTCCCATACGGGGATCGAACCCACAACCTTGGCGTTATTAGCACCAACTGAGCTATCCGAACTTAAAAATGGGAAGCGTAACTGTCAGAGCTGCTTCCAGATCCTAGCTCACAGAGGATCACGCTAGCCAGCGGTCACTTGTAAAAGTCTTTTATTGAGTTACAGTTTCCATTCTCAAGCTGCTGCGTGCAACTCTACGTCTTATGGCTAGACCGGCGAAGCTCCGTCTGAGTCTCCGCCCCCTGTACACCAACTTAATATCCTAGCCCTGTCCCACCTTTTCCGCCTGACTGTTCTTCTCTGGGTCCCTCTGCCCCCCGTGGTCTCTTCCTTCCTGGACTCTTCTGACGCTGACCCCCCGGACCCTCCTGTCTCCTTGCGCCGGGCTTTAGGACCTGGCTCCCTTTCCGGGCTGCCTACTGCGCCACCTTCCTGTGCATTTGAACTTGGCGCGCGCGCCCAACCTTCCACCTTCCGTCTAACCGTTTCTTCGCTCCCCGATGGAGGTGTGGCCACTCCTGACTCGTGCCCTCCCCCCTGTTGTGAGCTGCCAGCGCTTGATCCCTGGCGCCCTTCCTCTTCCCTGCTCTCTGGCGGTGACGCTGGTCCCGATTTCCAGCTGCTCTCCTCTGAGTCCCCTCTGGCTCTATCTTCCTGGGGTGTCCCCCTAGTCTCCCCCCTTGCCCTGGCCACTGGTGCTCCTTTCTGTGAATCTTCTGATTCACTGGAAAGACTCGGAGATCTCGGGTCGTCGTCATCACTCATCTTTTCTTCTGCCTCCTCCCCCTCGCTCTCTGTTTCCTCCCTTGCCCTTGCCTCTGCTCCTGAACCCCTGACAGTAATGCTGGTGGTCAACAAAAGCGGTTTAAAGACGCTCTCAAGGCAAATCTTTAAAAATGTAGTATAAACACTGACAACTGGGAAACACTGGCCTGCAAACGCTCCAGTTGGAGAACAGCCTTTACCAAAGGTGTCATGGGCTTTGAAGACGCTTGAACTCAGGACGCAAGGGAGAAGCGTGCTAAGAGGAAGGCATGCTTGGCACATCCACACCATTATCAACTCCCACCCAGAAACCTATGTCCCCACTGTGGAAGGATGTGTGGATCCAGAATTGGCCTCCACAGTCACTTATGGACTCACTGTCAAGACTGTATTCATGGAAAACAATCTTACTCGGCTATGAGGGATCGCCAAAGAAGAAGAAGCAGCTCTAACCAACTGAGCTACCCAGGGAGTAAGTCCCATTCATTTAAGTGGGACTTACTTCTGAGCAAGCAGGCATAGTGCAGTGTTACCATGGTTCCCGAACTCTCTTTGCACAGTGAAAGAAAACTAAGAGATTTGCTAGAACAGAGCAAAGGCTCACATAATCAGTTTCCAGCTAATTGCCTCCGGGAAGCCCACAATATCATTCAATATTTGGACATGTAGGCTCAATTTATTTATCAGCCGCAACTAATAAGAACATAAGAGCAGATAAGAAATTGCAAGAGGGGAGAGTGGCTCCTTTGCTCGGATCCTACTGGCAGGTTTCCCACAGGTATCTGGGAATGTTGTGCTTTCTGACAGCGGCCAACGAGATGCTTCTAGGATTCCCCCAAGCTAGGGCGTGAAAGCTCCTTGCCCCCATGTCGATTGGTTTTCAGAGTAGGCTGCCTCTGAACTTCCCCCCTCTTAACGCAAGCAGCTGTCAGTTGCTAAAAGGAGATCTCCATGTACCAAGGAATGGCTGCTGTTAGTTTAGAGCAGCTGTGGCTCTGCAGCTGTGGCTGGACTCCTGATCCCATCTTCCCTGGTCCTTGGCTATTCTGGCCAGGAGCTGATGGGACCAGGAGTCCAACAACATCGGAGGAGCCCCAGTCCTTCCCACCCTTGCTTTTCAGAGACTGGAGCAATAAAAGATAGACAAAATTAAAGCTCAGTTGGTTAGAGCATGGTGCTGATAACGTTAAGATTGCAGGTTCAATCCCCGTAAGGGACAGCTGCATTATTCCTCCTGCATTGCAGGGGGTTGGACTAGATGACCCTCAGGGTCCCTTTCAGCTTTACAGTTCTGTGATTCAGTGACTCACCGGAATCCAAGTAAGGCATGTTTTCCGGCACATGTTCTCAGAATTCCCTCATCTCTCTGTGGATTGACAGATGGTTTAAAAAAGGCGTGAGGGGTGTCTTCAGAACGCTGTTAGTATGCAGTATGCTGACGTGTTTTAATTTCTTTTTGCACAGTGTTGATTGCATTTGTCCTTTGAATGTTTTTCGATCTCTTTGACGCTTATGGATCATTTTAAATGTTCTTAATTTTTTGGTAAACTGCTTAGAAGCTACAGTGGTACCTCGGGTTAAGTACTTACCGTATTTTTCGCTCTATAACACGCACCTGACCATAACACGCACATTGTTTTTAGAGGAGGAAAACAAGGGAAAAAACATTCTGAATGAAACAGTGGATGTATCATTTTTGTGCTTCATGCTGTGGCCACAGACATGTGATCTGATGGTGAATTTGGGGTGACCCAATGCAAAAATCCTGAGAATTCCTGTGGATCCATGCTTTGTAACCACGTTTTTGCACCATTGTGGCCCCAGGCAACAGTGGGTGCGTGATTTTTTTGGTGCAGGCTGTAGCCATGGACATGCTATGTGATCTGATGGTGAATTTGGGGTGACCCAATGCAAAGAGCCTGAGGATCCATGTGGATCCATGCTTTGTAACCACATTTTAAGTGGGGAGCGAAGGAAAAACAAAGAAGGGACATGAGAGGGGTGTGCAGAGAAGCAGCTGGCTAAGAATGCTGGAGAGGGATAACGGGTGGGAGGAAAGAAAGGCAAAAGTTCCCCCCCAAGCCAGCCATCTCTCTCTCTCTCTCTCTCTCTCTCTCTCTCTCTCTCTCCCTCCCTCCCCCCCTCTCTCCCTCCCCCCCTCTCTCCCTCTCCCTCCCCCCCTCTCCCTCTCCCTCCCCCACTCTCTCTCCCTCTCCCCCAGCAGCACCGGAGCACAGAGAGGAATTAGAAAGAACGACACTCTGCTTGCCTGGAGGGGAGGGGCTTTCCCTGCTCTTTGTTCCGTTTGAGCAAACACAGCAACGAAACAGAGGAGGGTGGGCAGTAAGACCCTGAGGCAGAATGCAGGAAAGCTGCAACTTCCTCTTTTCAGGTTTCCCTTCTCTGTGAAGCCCGATTCGATTTTTGTCTGATTTTTTGGCTCCAGGGACCACACATTCGCTCTATAACACGCACAGACATTTCCCCTTCCTTTTTAGGAGAAAAAATCTGCGTGTTATAGAGGGAAAAATACGGTAATTCGTTCTGGAGGTCTGTTCTTAATCTGAAACTGTTCTTAACCTGAAGCAACACTTTAGCTAATGGGGCCTCCTGCTGCCGCTGCACGATTTCTGTTCTCATCCTGAAGCAAAGTTCTTAACCCAAGGTACTATTTCTGGGTTAGTGGAGTCTAACCTGAAGCGTATGTAACCCGAGGTACCACTGTATATGTAAATATTGTGAAATGAAAAAACAAAAGCACATCTTCATTGAACATACTTAATTTTTGTTCTGTTTGTAAAGCAGTGTGATCTTCCATTGATAGGCTTTTTCTTCTTCTTTCTTGCAGGCGAGGAATCCGGGCAGAGCCACTGTTTACAGGATACTGTGACTATGAATACAATGCCTTTTGACTTCTACACCCTCGTCCTGTTTTCTGCCATATCAGTATGACCATTGTAGGCATGGAGAGGGTAGCACTGATTTAGTACTATTTTCAATAAAAGGGGAAATCAATCCACCATTGATCTTGGGTCTTAGCAAAAAAGCCACACCACTTAAAATAAGAATGATAATAAAAATCAGTTAAACAGACCTAGAGGTCTACTGGACTCTATGCATATTATGTGTGAATGTTGTGGGGGGGTCTGAACACCCTCCACCAACCCCCCCAAAAAAACAACAACCCCCCTGCCCAAGAATGATGGCAGAGGCAAGGATGGGCCACAGGGGATATCTGCCCAAGCCCCCACCAAAAATAATAATTCTAGAGCTGTCACATCACAAAGAGAGCATCCCTATCTTTACAACAGGCACTGAGTCCCCCTACAGTTCTTTGTACTTTTTCCAGGGCCTAAAAAACACTGTTATACTCTGGGTTTCTGGCTACGTCACAAGTCAATGGTGGTTGCTCCTCGCTGCCCTCCGCGGGCAGCGGGGAGGTTCAGGCAGGGGAAAGCCAGGATTTATGAGGTAAAAATCCTGACACTGTTCCCCAGTGGGGTCTGCGGAGCTCACTGCACCCTGCTCAAGCCCATGTATGCCAACTTGAAAGGCAGAACAGGTGCGACCTGGGAGTGTGTCCCTGCCATAGACGAGCCTCCATCTCCGACATGATTTCCGGTTGGTTCTTCCATAATTTGGACAATTGGCATTAATTAAGAGGCACTCCTGGACGGACATATGCTAATAGGCTGCAGTCAGCTGCCAAAAGGACTATACTTACCTGGCAGGGGAGATACCATGATCACAAAAGGACTGGGCTTGGCTCTTTGAAGGTACAGTGGTGCCCCGCAAGACGAATGCCTCGCAAGACGAAAAACTCGCTAGACGAAAGGGTTTTCTGTTTTTTGAGTCGTTCCGCAAGATGAATTTCCCTATGGGCTTGCTTCGCAAGACGGAAACGTCTTGCGAGTTCTTGCGAGTTTGTTTCCTTTTTCTTAAAGCCACTAAGCCGTTAATAGCCGCTAAGCCGCTAATAGTCGTGCTACGCAAGATGAAAAAACCGCAAGACGAAGAGACTCGCGGAACGGATTAATTTCGTCTTGCGAGGCACCACTGTATCTGAATGTTTTCTTTGAAGCTTGAGAACCCTTACAACAGCCGGGAAAGGAAGGGGGAAGACAAGGTGCTTTGTGCTTTCATTTGGTTTTCTCTCTTCTTGTCCTCCCCTGCAAAATGAAAGAGACTTGTGTAGCCACGACTATGTTATTCTGTCTGTCACCATGGAAAAGAGGGGAGAGGCTTTAGATTTATGCTCAGCAAGGAATTTAACAATGTTTTGTTATGCCCTTCTCCCTCGACCGAGGTGGAATGGACTTTATTTAAAATTATATTTGGATTGAACCAGGAGTGTTATGGAGCAATGCAGAGCAAGGAGAATGAATGGCTGCCGAATACAGTCATATCTCAGGTTACGAACGCTGCGGGTTGCGGACCGCGCTGAACCTGGAAGTACCAGAACGGGCATGTGCGCAGAAGCACAAAATGACATCATGCACAGAAGTGCTGAATTGCGTCATGCGCAAATGCAGACGCGGTGCTCCAGGCTACGAATGCTGCGGGTTGCAAACGTGCCTCCCGCACAGATCACATTCGCAACCGGAGGTATGACTGTAGATCCAGCAAGAGGCTGAATTTGAGAAAAGATTATGTTTATAACTGTGTCGCAAGGAAGAACTCCAGAGCAGAATTTTAATGGCAGAGACTGGACATGTTTCTCTGTGAGTTATTTATGGCCGTAGCCCATATGCTAGTTGGTGAACAGTGGAAGGAATGGAATGTGACTTTGTACCATCCAGATAAACAGTGCAAAGAACTGAACAATGGAAGATAGTAATTAATTATCCCAGCACACCAGGTCCAAAACAGCAATGTATATGAAGGACTACACACGTGAAATGGATTTTATATTTATAAGATGTAACAGAGGAGCTGTTTGTAAGGTGGTAAAATGCAGTCACCTGCAAGAATGATGTAACGGCTGTTACCAGAAAAATCCGAGGGCTCCCTTGGACAAAAAGTAAAGACACCAACCAGAGTAAATTGGAGCAAATCAGCAGCCTGTAGGCTTGGCCTTTATTGAACTGTTGCAACAGGGTGCTCCCCTCACTTGCAGGAGAGAGGAAAAGACACAGAAAATGGTGTGCAAGACCTTATAAAAACTTTTGAAATTCCCATCCTCTAGGTCAGGGGTCAGCAACCCGCGGCTCCGGAGCCACATGTGGCTCTTTTACACCTTTGCCGCGGCTCCGAGGCGGATACTAGGGAGGGGAGGAGGCGCATTGTGCACCCCGACACTCCCCACTGTGGCAGGCGCTGTACTGGCTGTGACGTTGCATGGGGGCGGTGCGTGCGTTAGTCACGCACCGTCCCAACATCACCTTCCCGCCCGCTGTCAGATCGCGGCTCCGGAGATATATTTGTTTTAAATGTCGCAATGGTTTTGCGGCTCCCAGTTTTTTTTCCTTCGGAAATGGGTCCAAGTGGCTCTTTTTGTCTTAAAGGTTGCAGACCCCTGCTCTAGGTCAAGCCCACCCCCAGAAACATCATGCATACATTACCGAAAGGAGGGGTTGAGGGAGGAGTTCTGGTGGTAACCTGAGTGTCCTGTCACCTGGCTGGTTCCCTTCTACCCCTCCCCATGAGTCATTTTCTGAAGACAAAAGGTAGTCACAGTTTCCTGCCCCTGAGGGAAGATCTGATCATTGTCCTTTGTTCCAGTCCATGCTGAATCCACTCCCGTATGCAAGTTCTTTGTGATCTTGATTGTCTTCTGTCTGGGATCATCAGGGTTGGCATAGCAACTGGGCAGGGCTCCTGTGGATGTGCTGGGATGGTGAAGGGATTATGGCTGACCAGGACCAAGCCACCCCCCTTTGATAATCCTTGTCATATGGAGTAAAATAAAAATGGAACAGTGCAAATCCGATGTATGGTTGATTTTCTATGAATTTATAACAGAAGTGTAGCGTATGTAGTGTATGAGTGTGAGTGTGTGTGTGAAGTTTGTACAAACTGAATGATGGGGGGGTTTCCTGCTACACGGCAAATGAAGGTTGACAACTGGACACCAAATAAGATGGTGCAGCTATGGGAGGAAATGATTGACATATGTTTGCAACAGGAGCAGGAAACCTGATTTTAAGAAATTGTATTAAATGTAAGTAATTTGGTTTGATTTTTAATAATTTGGAAAAGTAATAAAAATAACCTGGAAAAGAAAAGAAATGAAAAAGAAAACACTGTTATACTCCTTTATGCAGTCCTGATATCTTGCGTCATACCTTTTCCAGCGGACCTTAACTACTGCAAGCCCTCAGCCCCTTAACCCGCAGGGTCACGGTTTTGCCAAAAACCTGACGTCCAGTTCACTTGAAAGTGATGCCAAACCCCAGCAAAGGGCCAGTGTAAACCCCACATTTCATGGTACATCGTAAAATGAGCCCTCAGCACCCTAACCTGCAGGGTCACGATTTCGCCAAAATCCTGATGTCGGATTCACTCGAAAGCAACACCAAACAACGGCAAATGCCCCCCCTGCAATGTTTGCCAGTGCAAACCCCATGCTTTATGATAGGTCATAAAATGAGCTCTCGGTGCCGTAACCTGCGGGGTCACGGTTTCGCCAAAAACCTGACATCTGATTCACTCGTAAACAGTGCCAAACACCGTCAAATGACCCCCTGCAACATTTGGTGGTGCAAACCCCACGTTTCACAGTGTTTCCTTACCATCCTGACAGTCTGGCAGCTTTCTTCACAATGGGCAAATGCTGGAAACTCTTAGCATTCCTTGTCCTATATGCAGGTTTTTCCCAAGCCGTCTGAGATGGCTTTCTTCCTTGCACAAACCTGGTCTCAAATGCAGGCCACGATTTCCACTTGCAGAAAATGCAGCCAAGAGTATTGAGGCACGCAGGGACCACAGACATCATTCAGACCCTCATGCAAATTCATCATTACCCACGCAGGCAGAACTGTTATAAGACCTACCAATTAGGGGCTGTATGCCATCTCCTGAACCGAATTGGGCCGATTCAGGTTGATCTAGCTGAGGATAACTGTTCATGTATGTATCTGTCTGTGGTGCCCACCACCCACCCCCAGTTTATATACGTCTGCCCTTGGTGTTGACATAATATAGGCCGTAGGTCTTCAACCAGAGGGTAGGTTTAAAGCCCCAAACGGCCTCGGTCCGGTATACATGAAGGAGTGTCTCCATCCCCATTGTTCAGCCCGGACACTGAGATCCAGCGCCGAGGGCCTTCTGGCGGTTCCCTCATTGAGAGAAGTGAGGCTACAGGGAACCAGACAGAGGGCCTTTTTGGTAGTGGCGTCCGCCCTGTGGAACGCCCTCCCAACAGATGTCAAAGAGATAAACAACTACCGGTACCTGACATTCAGAAGACATCTTAAGGCAGCCCTGTTCAGGGAAGTTTTTAATACGTAACTCTGTATTGTTTTTAACACTTGATTGGGAGCCGCCCAGAGTGGCTGGGGAAACTCAGCCAGATGGGCGGGGTATAAATAACATATTATTATTATTATTATTATTATTATTATTATTATTATCATCATCATCATTATCATTATCATTATTATCATCATCATTTAGGGACCTACTCATGAGTTTTGAGGCCATCCAGGTGTATTGCAGCAAAGCTGTTGCTGTTTCACTGGATTCTAGTTCAGGCTGACCAGACCAAAGGAGCACAGCCTGTGTGTCTGAACTAAGACGTGCTATTCTGATGAGATGCTCTTTTATTAGTTTCAGTGGGTGGTGCAATGTAGAAGAAAGCCACGAGCCATTTTATAAATAAGATATAGATTTCTGGCCAGTCGTATCCTCATGCTTCTGCCACATTGCAGGACTTGTTGTTGTTTAGTCGTTTAGTCGTGTCCGACTCTTCGTGACCCCATGGACCAGAGCACGCCAGGCACCTCTGTCCTCCACTACCTCCCGCAGTTTGGTCAAACTCATGCTGGTAACCTCGAAAACACTATCTAACCATCTCGTCCTCTGTCGCCCCCTTCCTTGTGCCCTCCATCTTTCCCAGCATCAGTGTCTTCTCCAGGGAGTCTTCTCTTCTCATG